TGGACCATTGACACTCTATCTACAATCTCAATTAGTAGTGTCAAGAAGAAGACGCCTCACGCGCCTGTTGCCTTGCACAGACCGATCGTTTCGTGTCTTTACACATCAATGTATCGTCACGAGCCGCAGGGTTTAATTTGTATTTGTCTGTGCATGTTTTTTTTACTCTCATAGATTTTGTTACCATTGCCATGCATTATACGACTGATAGACTGCAAAGGTTAAAGTTAAAAGTCATCATATGTGTTCTACTGAAGAAACAAAGTCACCTACATCTTGGATGCCCTGGGGGTAAGCAGATAAACATCAAATTTTCATTTTTGGGTGAACTATCCCCTTTAACAGTAACATTTTCCCCATTTAGTGGTCATTTGTGAACACAATCTGCTGTGAAAAGTTATGTCATAATTATGTGTGTGGGAAAATGATTTATAAGTACCGTGATTAACACTATATACTGCATTACTAATGGAAATGTACCTTAATATCTCAATTTTATTTTGATTTACTGTTTTAATAACTTAAGACCATTTGTGAATGTTTTAAAATGTAGTCTTTTGAGTCTGTTAGTCACAGGAATGCTTTCATGCGTGTAAGCGTCTGTGTTCACTCATGAGGTCTTGTGTTGGACTGTCTTTCTCCTCAGGCCCGGTTCAGCCAGTCCTAGTGGGAAACCCGCAGGAGCCCCTGCAGCGGTCACCTCTCTCCCAGGACATTACACACAGCAGGTACGGCTCATTTCTGTCCCTAACGCTGACCTGAGAGGACACGTTACACATGGCTTACACACTCATCTGCTGTCTGATGCTGCAGATGTCCGCTCCTCAGGGCAGTATGGTCATGCACATGAGGCCCCCCACCAGTGGTCCCTTCCCCAACCCTATCCAGCGGCCCGTCATGCAGGTCAACAAAACCGTCATCATCCGTTCGCCACCCTACCCCAGCCCTGGGCGCGATCCGCACCACAGCACACCCCCCTCCAACCCCGAGCTAACCGTGAAGGGTCCTGAGGATGGTGTGAAGGTGAGCCACCCACTGTGAGCATAGGTAATGGCATCTCATGCACTTCCTTCTTATTGTCATTCTTTATGATGTTTTGTTAGATCACGTTTACATCAAAACCAAAATGTTAATCTGTAAAGATGAAGCTGTCTAATGATGGTTATGTCTAATGATGGAGGTTTGTTGTGTCTCTTAAGTGAAGCTGGGTCATTTAGCAGCTTGATAAGGGCTGGGTAATAAATCAATGTTAGCATTAAAAACTGATGAATTTATATTATTTTTCTGTGTTTAGCGTATATCTAGATAATCTGATGCGTGTTGCTAATAAGTCTGCATGTTCTTCATACTCGAGAACGAGAGTTTCATCTTCAGTACAACCCGCCAAAATAAAAGTTTGGTTTAATTTGAAGAAACCGACAAATAATTACTATGTTGTAGTATTTGTACAACAGCATTAGTATTTGCTCGATGTGGTATTATTTTTTCCCCTTTTTAAGGAATATATTATACAACCAAGATATGTTTTCATCCATGTTAATTTTATGTATGCAAGTTCTGTTGTCCAGCAGCGTATTAAAAAAAATAATACAAATGAAAACGCTGGAGAAAAAAAAAAATAAAAAAAAAAAATAAAAATATATGACTTGGTTCGATGCATCAGTTGTTGATTGGATTTGAGGCCATTGAATTGAGATTGAGGTGACAGGTATTACATTTTGATTAAACATTAAAAAAATTTTTAATATAAAATGGATAATTTGCTTGCAATAAGATCAATAACATGCATTTTAATTTTATGCCAACTTTAGATCACTTGTCAAAGTAATTTATTAACTTTGGCAGCCAAAAAAAAAAAAATAATAAAAAAATAAAAGGGTATGAAAAGTGCTCCGAGTCGCTGCAGAAAACAAAAAAATTGAACAAAACAAAAAACAAAGCAACAAAAACTGGAAATGTTGCTGGAGATGGGCTTATTTAAAATGAAAACTCATTCTCTGGCAGCAGGAGGCGCTTTTAGAGTGATAGAACTAGCGGTTTCTCCAGTAATGGCTGTAATCAAAGCAGCTCCGCTCATGAACGCTTCTTTATCAGATCAAATGAAAATGCCATCGAAACTTTTCTGAAGACAGTCAATTCCCTTCAGAGATACATTCATATAAAACACCCGCGCCGTGTTATGATTTTGAATCGTGCAGTGCTCATGTTTATTCAACGAAGTCAAACGGCACAAATAAATCAATGTATGGGAAACACTGGTAATGTATATCGAAATATCGAAAATGTGTTTAAAAATCATATCACCGTTATTGAAATTTTTTTTATCGCGATACATATTGATATTGAATTATTGTCCAGCCCTAATATATATATATATAAAAATGCAGAATCTAGAAATTTTTTTTACGGAAAACAGAATTTGGTGACATGAAACTGATTTTATAGGCCTGTATATGAAAACATGGAGTTTTAGAAACAAGTTTTTCCATTAATTCTCAAGGTCGAACAAACATTTCTTTCCCTATTAATGGTAAAAAAAAATTAATATTGTGATTAAATATTGATATCGAATGATATGGACAAATGTTGTGATTATATTTTTGGCCATGTTGCCCAGCCCTATTCTTGATATTTTACTTTTCTTAATGATATTCAGTATGCATTATTAAGGGGTCTAAAATAACAGAGTAAAAACAAGGTAAAAATGTTCCCCTCACTTTTTCTCTAAGAATATGTAATTATCTATTTTATTGGACCGATGTAAAAATTCATTAGCGTAAATGTGATCATCTGCTTCATCCTGAGGAAGAACTATAGAAACCAGTCTAATGGCACAATACACAGGAAAATTAAAAGCTATGAAAATGGCAAATTTGATGCTAAAATGACCATGTGGCTTAATCATATATTGCCTTCTCATGTGTTGACTGTTCAGTGTATTATACAGTAGAATCATTTGAAGCAGTCGTTTTTATAAGTCTTTGACTGCCAGTTTTGGTGAGGTTCTGCTCCAGTATTGAGCTGGTCTCTTGTCTTCGGTACAGGTGAAGGCTCTGCGTGACGCGTGTCAGGCCGTCAGCGACGCCAAGAGCTCATCAGTGATTCCCGGCAAGATCCAGGAGCAGCTGCCTTCAGTACAGGTCAAAGCTGCTCAAACCAGAGCCATCAAACCACACTCAGTCAAAGTGGAGGAAGGCAACGACTAATAAATGGACCTCATGATCACATGACACCGCTGTCTGTAGGACCTCCTCTCTCTTCCTCCTCCTCCTTTCTCCCCCCCTCTCTCTGTCACTGCACTCCGGAACTGACGCACAGGATCACCAACTCCACAAATCAATCGGAACACATTAATAATAAACGTCTCACAGAGCGATATGAGTATCTATATATATATATATATATATAAATAGACACGATAGTTTTGAACTCTACTGCGCAGACTTTCCAAGATCAGCTTTATTTATTTACATTTTCTTTGACATTTTCAAGTGAAGAATTACGGTTCACAAAAGTGGCAAACGAACCCTGGTGTCTCTCGCTCTCTCCATCAAAGTCTGCAAACAGAAAAACAGGAAGCGTATCTCCAGCTCTCGCGTCTCCACGCCCACATTGCCAAACTGAGCCAGCTGATTGGACTCGAGGTTTTGATTGACATGCAGATCAACAGAAGCTCCAGAGCTGCAGTGTGTGGCATTAGTCATTTTTACTGGGTACCATGGAGTTTTAACTTTTTTTTATTTTTTTATATATATATATATATATATATATATAAATATAGTAATCATGCCTATTTGCGCTATTATAAAAAAAAAAAAACTTTTATTCAATAAAAACAAAACTTCAAACCCAATTTTGAGGACATTGTTCAATCCAAACATGGAGGACATGCACCTTTCTCTTATTTTACAGCTGCTTTTCATGCGTTGTGTAAATGCAAAGCAACATTTGATCCTTAAAGGTGTTGCGTGATGGTGCTTGAGTGGCAGCGGTGTGGAATAAACATGTTAAAGTCAGCAGCATTGAGAAGCGCTTGCTCTGTGTATGGTGTGATAAGGATAGGTGGGATATATGGGCACTTGTGTAATGTGAGGATGTTTGTGATGTTGTCAGTGGGATTGTTGTGCTGTCCGGAACGCTGATGGGAAATGTTACAGTACGTTGTTCGATCTTTATTTGATTTGGTCAAGAAACCAAACTTCAGCTTTGAGTTTCTGTTTTGGCGGGCGGTCGGTCGGTCACAGGAGTGCGAGGGTTGCACAAGCAATAAAAATCTGTAACCATCGGGGTCCAAACATGCATCTGCGTTGCGTCTGCGAATGAGTGCTTGTGTTGTAAATGTTGCCGTCTCTGGGCTCACGGGGATCATGACTGAAAATATGAAGTGCACAGGAAATGTTGGTTTTGAAGGTGCTTTGTTACACTGCAGCTGTACAGAACTATAACCCATCAGCACATGTTCGTACATATTTGATATTGGAGCATTAATGCAAATGCAACCTCTTCTTTTCCTTTTGGGTGAACTGTTGGACATTTGAAATGCCTTTTTAAATGATTTCTGCAGTGCTCATGGTTATTTCAGAGGTTTGGCGCTGTTGGATCGCGTCACCTTCAAAGGTAACATTGCTTCTTGATGATTGCTGCATATCTGTACAGACTCATTATTATCCCTTTTGCTTTTGTTAGACCTGTATTTAAAGGGCCAGCAATGGATTTACTCACTTTTCTTTACATTTATTTTTAAGGGTCTGTTTTCCCTGCAGATATTTATCACTCGGTGTTGTTTATCCTATTAAATGTGTGATAATATTTGCCCTTTTATTGGAAATGATCTCAAGAGAGAAATAAAGCAGACTGTGCTTTTTTCAAAAACGAATCATTGTTTGTATTCCCATTACCCATGTGCCGTTTTTGATGAGGCCATTGCAGTGATTTAAAGGGATAGTTCACCCAAAAATGAAAATTTGATGTTTATCTGCTTACCCCCAGGGCATGCCGGCTGTCGAGAATGCGCTCAGGACAGTTCAGATATTACAGTGCATCAAAACAGGTAAAAGGTGAAAAACGATATAAATACTGTTCAGTTTCTTGCACAGACCGATCGTTTCGTGTCTTTACACATCAATGTATCGTCACAAGCCGCAGGGTTTAATTTGGTTTTGTTGGTGTATGTTTTTTTGATTCAAAGCTGTGATTCCCATTCACTTCCATTATAAGACTGACAGACTGCAACGGTTTGAGTTAAAAATCTTTGTTTGTGTTCTACTGAAGAAACAGTCACCTACATCTTGGATGCACAGATAAACATCAAATTTTCATTTTTGGGTCAACTATCCCTTTAAGCATTTAAGTCATGTCAAATGAAAATCAATGATACTGCATCTTGATGTTTTTCCCCTCTTTTAAATGCACGTTGAGAAATCTGAAATGGCTAAAAAGTTAAATACAGTAAAAATCAAGTAAAAAATTAAGACTTTTCACTAAATGAACGTTTTAACTGATTTGCAAAAATTAATTAATTCCAACTCTAGTCTAACTCTGTTTTTGCTATGAGTTTAATTATGCAGTAAGCGAGGCGGTGTTGTACTGTCAATATAGTAACAATTGAAGGGTTGTCATTAAAGTCCCTTTCACTGCAAGGCAGTTTACTTTTTCATGCATTGAATATTTCATATCAGAAATCAAATCTGATATAAATTGTATAAACAGATCATTTTTGCTCTTGTAATGGCAGAAAAATCACTGTATAACTCAAGGTTTTTGCTGCATAAACCAAAGGCTAGTGAGTGCAAGTTTCACAATGCCAAACACCAATGTCATCAAACAGCAAAAACAATCGTTTTTTTTTTTTTCATTAACCCAGTTCTCCAATAGTATTAAATGAAGTGTCTCATTATGGGATGCACTCCTGCATTTTTTTGTAGTGTTTCTCAACACGTTTCTGAAGGCACACCAATAGTACACATTTCTGAACTCTTCCTGATCAAACACCTGGTTCAACTCCTTACTAGAAACTCCAGGACATGAAATTGGTGGGCCAAATAAAAGATATTCCCGCGAACCCAGCTGTGAAACACTGCCTTATGCTGCCTTCACATGCTATCGGAAACCTCCTACTTCCCACCCTGAAGTTTGTCGTGTTTAAGTGTTTTGTTCTTGGAAAGAACAGGAATTAAGGAAGACAACCATCTCATGAGTTATTCTTGACCATTTATTGGGGAAATATTATTAAAGTCAAAAGGTACAGAAGGTATTTAGTTAAGATCCAACAGGTTTTGAGTAAGATGTAGCGTCCCATTCATTGGTAGCCATATGAACATTCACATTTGACTCACTATCTAGATATTCAGCTTGCTGACGATTCCTAGCTTTTGGTCAAATATTTTTATACTATTTTATTGTTTACATTTTATACAAACAATTTGCATCAAATGGTGATTTATAAATATACATGACTGTAAAGGCAAGAGATGTTGTGGGAAAAGCTAATAAAATGTTGCTCTCCTCCGCCATGTTTAAAGTTTATGGGCCGTCAACTCCGGAGCTCAAATATCAAAATGATCTGTTTCCCAGTTGTAAATAAGACTAATAAAGTTGTATTTATGATAATTCCAATGGCACATTGAAGGCAGCATTAGAAACCATATTACAGGGATGGGCAACTCCCCTCCTGGAGGGCCACTTTTGGAGTCAAGTTCCATCGCTAATCAAAACCCTGCCTGTGGTTTTCTAGTGCTTCTGAAGACATAGGTCCAAATTTCATGCATGTTTGATTAGGGGTAGAGCTAAACCCTGCAGGACAGTGGTGCTCCAAGACCGGAGTTGCCCAACCCTGCTCTATTACACTGGCTGCCAGACATGATGCTTGCGTCCAGGATTGGGAACCAGTGATATGCACTAAAAGTTTGATATATTAACTTTGTTTCGTCAGACAGCCTGTTTTGAATCCCTCTGCCAACTGTAAGTATTATTATCCAGGAACAGAGTTGGGAACCACTGGTCTATGGATGCAGTGGTCACCTGGAAAGATAATGGGCTTCTGGCTTTGAGGAGCTTTAGGAACCTTACAAGTGTGTGCGGTGCTGCTTCACAAATACCTTTTCATCGTATCTCCTTTCTAGAAAGGCCATGATGTACAATAGTCATTTCTCCTGTAGAATGTGCAGGCAAGCCAGAACCTTGCCTGTAATATATCCGGGAAATCCACCATCCAGTGTGAGGGGTGCTGTTTGGTGATCGGCTTTCTCATATTCAGACATGTTTTGCAATAGCCAAACAATGCTGCCACCTCAGATGACAATATCTAAAATTCAACTTTGTCCAGTAGCTCAAATGGAGACACTGAAATCGCATCAAGCACCATCACTAAATCCCATGATGGAGAAAGTGGTTTAGAAACTGGGACAATGTGATATTCATAAAACAGCACGCTTAAGGATGCTGCCCTACTGCAGTGCTGGGTAGCTCCAGTCCTGGAGGGCCACCGTCCTGCAGATTTAGCTCCATCCCTAATCGTACACGACTGAAAAATGTAAGTCTTCACAATTACTTGAAAGTTATCCAGAAGTTAGTCATTTGCATTTAAATGGGCCAGGCTCTCAGAGCCAAGTGCTCTGGATGGGATTGAAAATCTCCCTCGTGCCTGTGACAGCAGATCACAACTTTGCAGTGGTAGTGGCCAGGGCTGTTTGTATAGCATGCATATTTAATTCCTGTTCAGATGGCACACATGTGCTGCTCTCCTTCCCCTCACTTTTTTAAGATTTATTTTTGGCATTTTCACCTTTATTACAATAGGACAGATCAGAACTGACAGGAAGCGTAGAGGGAGAGATGGTGGGGCGGGATCGGGAAACAGTGTTGCCAAGTCCGTGGTTTTCCCGTGAAATTGGGCTACTTTAACACGGTTGCCGCGGGTTCTTTTTCATGTCCGCGGGTTGAAACGACTCCAATAACATGATATTTATCCCCTGGAATGCGAATTTTAGCAGGGGAACTCTGCCAAAAAACGTGTATTTTACCCCCCTGAACGCGATTTTTAACAGGGGACCCCCTCGAAACGCGATTGGGCTAGTTTTGAGTATAGCGATTGGGCGGGTTTTCTTGTGAAATCCTGGCAACCCTGTCGGGAAAGGTCATTGAGTCAGGATTCGAACTCGGGACGCCCGTAGTGCAACGGCGCTGTGTGTGTGGCGTGCTGCCCACAAGGCTATCCTGTTGACTTCCCCTCACTTCTGAACTCTTCCCTCACACTAGTGTGTTCTTTTCATTAAAACTGTAAGTGAAGGGTTGCCAAATACTGCAAAAATATAACCTGGGGCCCGTTCTTCGTACGTCGCTTATTTTATCCGAGATTAAATGTCACATCCAAGATGATATCATCGCGCTAATCAGGATCTGGCTAATTCGGTTCTTCGAAAGCACTTGTTGTTGATTAATATGGCTGGATTGAGTTATCTGAAATAATTGCGCGTTCATGGGTTGGTTTAAAAGGGGCTATGTATCGATACTCGAAACCACGATCAGCAATGCAGCGATTGGCTGGTGGCAAGACAGCAACGTAATGACATCATATAATTAAAAAAGACACCTGACGAAAAACTTGACAAATTTTGGGACTTTTATAAGGAAACAGCCAAGCTAACAAAACTACATAAATTGTTATAATAGATAAATGAAATGTGCACTGTTTTATTTAATACATTTTTTTTTACATGATTCCCAATTATTTATATTCACGATTTCTAATATTTGTACAGGCTTTACATTTTTATTTCAATGTAGTAATTA